TATATATATATCCTGTGTTCTAAGAATTATATTTAGTGAATTTTTGCCAATAAATGGTGCTACGTGTAAATAAGCATATTTAATGCAGATTGAATTAATCAAATGTAAATGTAATAAAATAATACAGATAAATCTATGTATATAAATGAGAATGTTCGTTTGTTTGCTGTACATTCCTAGGCCGTTCAACCAATTGCTACGAAACGCCGCAGATGCGTAATGTCGTGCATCTCACCCCAAAATCTCTATTTGATTTATGTAAATCAAATTTATAATATACATCTAAGCAATAACTTCAATAAAAACTAAATTTATTTACAAAATAAATTTTCAAAATACTAGAAAACATTAAATTTTGAATTAGTATAATTTTTTAGCAGGTCAAACATCATAAAAACGTCACAGAACTCTGTTATGTCCTGAAAAAACCAAACGTATCATGTGAGAACATAAACACGTGCTGTTACTGAGATTTCTTTACATTTTTATTTGTTCATTATTTTGATTGGCAAAATTGATTGAAAAATCTTGGAAAAATTACAGACAATGATTAGAAAAAACAAATAAAATCATTAATTTATACAAAAATAAATAACATATGAAAAAACATTTATATTATTAAAAACTGACAAAAAAACAAATTAAATTAAAAGTAGTTTAACATAGTGATTTTTCATAAAGCTTTTGTGGCGATCATTATAATGAGTCTGATGGACGATGGGTTATCTTATTCATCCTGAAAACCTTCACTATGACTGTGTTCCATAACTGAAATCACATCTGTTACAATATTGCAAGATCAGTGTCATAGCATTTGTAAATATATTTGTAGTTCAAAATTTTATATTGTATTAATGCTCCCGAATAAAGTTGAATTAATTATTTTACCGTCATGTAAAATTGTATAAGAACTGTTCACATTCATTTACTCATTCTTTTCATTGACTATGCAAAGTATGATTTGGGTACGAATATGAGCATCGAGTTTTCGGTCTATTCGAATCTCTCAATTCAAGAAGTGTCGAGAAAGCTGAATACAATCCATTCGCCACCTGAATAATAGAATTTAAACTTTTATTAGCATTATTATTTGAAATCGTTTGTTTTATTTTAAATATAGGCTATATGAAATGACACTTAATTAGTAAAGAGAAATAAATACAGTATATACATTAAGCCAGTGTTTCTCAACGGGGCGATATCGCCCCCGTGTGGGCGTTTTTCCATGTTGAGGAGGCGATTAGTAACAATTTATATTTTGGGGGCGAAAAACAATTTTCTGGGCGATACAGTAAAACATTATATTAAGAATAATTAAATATTTTATTTGTTATATCGTACAATAATTAAACAAATAACATTATAATAGTTACTAGTTTATTCAATGCAGTACGAATTTGGCGTTAGCCTTGTCCCTCAGCATCGGAATTTTGTAGTGAAGGGGGCGATACTACGTAACAGTTTTATTAAAGGGGGCGATACTACGTTGAAGGGGGCGTCGATTCGTTAGAGGTTGAGAAACACTGTATTAAGCCAACACCAACTCAAACAATTACTTTGGAAAAACCGTACAGCAATTTAAAAATTCCATAAATTTTATATAATCTTGCCAGGGTAAGGTGACAAAAATTCTCCTGCCAAATAATGCGTTTAATTTATAACTTGATAGGGGTCAATCCTGACATTACCAAAAGGGCACTAGTGAGTGCGGTTTTATTAGCCTTACAAATGCGGAGAGCTGCAATCTTTCGAACAGATAACAGTCTTTTAGTTATGGATTTTGACGGCCATGTGGCCCCAGATCTGTATGTCATAGAAAAGTGCTGGATGAATTGCACCCTTGTAAAGAAGCTTAGTAGCGTAGGGCCAAGGCCCCATGTGTTCCTAGTAATACTAATGAGGGTGTTGGCCATCTTTTTAGCATTGTCCTTGATGTATTTGATATGGGGTGTAAAGTAAAGTTTTTCATCTAACACCTAAATATTTAATTTATATAGTTAGCTTTATTTTGTGAGCATCAATTTGAAAGGTAAGCTTCATGACAAGTGACGCGTTCCTACCAAATATCATGTTTTTGCATTTTTCTCTGTTAATTGGTTGTCTATGCTTAGTACCACTGATGAATGTTATTGAGAATATCGTTGCATATGTCTTGTAAGTGTACACTGTTCCTATGTAAAGCAAGGATAATTGTATTGTCTGCATAGCCTTATATGTGGCTGCCAGGAGGCAGGGTTTCGTTTAACTGCAGAACAGAGTTATAGGCAATGTTCCAGAAACCTAAACCAGACCTGGATCCCTGAGGAGAGCCTCGAGTAATGTAATTTGTAAAAGAGGGTGAGAGTGCTGTCGGTCTTTTAGCTGACTGACTTAGCTCGTTTAAATAGGAAACGGAAAGAAGGTTCGAAGGTAAGATGATAAGCAGCAAGATGAAGTTAGGACTTATTTCGACTTTGTGTAACAATGTCAGTAAACCATCGTTATTTTTTTAATAATATTGTAAAATTATGTTTTTTTAATTCAGCCTTTTTAAACGGTATGTCACTATTAAAATTCAAGTTTTGAGATGAAAAATTATATACCTGTTTGAAAAAATTATACTTTCAAAACATATGCGTACATTAGTATAATGTTAATTTGATATCCTTATATATTAATGACATGCCAACTGATTTGACTAAAGAGGGTGGTCCGTTTATAATGTCATCAGCAAATAACTCGAGAAATGTGCATTCTATTAAAAAGTGATACAGATCAAAACTGATATACTTCAAGAAGACATGAGACAGGAGAAACTTACCAATGGCCAAGCAGTCTTCGTGACCGAAACACTGGAAGTTCGGTCGTGGGTTTGCACCTCACCCAGATGGGCTGGCCACGTGGAATTTTCCGGGTTTTCTCCACGTCTATACCGCCTAAATAGGGGCCACTTTCCCTTAAAAAGACCTCTGGGAATGCACCAACCCTAGGCAGATTGCCGAAGTGTTGCATTGCCATAACTTAACAAACAAACATCATAAAGATGCACTGTTGGCTTTCCCTTTGATGATGCCACTATTGGTGAAACTGACATTAATTTTAAATTTTTAAATGGTGAGCCATGTATTTTTTTTCTATTAAGATTCTACATTGTAAATAAATATAGTTTTAGATAAAATGCATCTTTAAAAAATGTTTTATATCACAAGATACAAGCGTTTAAAAGTGTAAGCGTTCTTAGAAATCTATCATCTTAAAGTCAAATATTATAAAAATTGTACAGGTCACAATTATTTGAAGTTGATGGCCTGAAAAAATTGGCCATGAACCGGAAAACATTTGTGAAAGTGATGGCTCTCAACCTGAAAATATTTTAGTGTTTAAAATATTTTCAGCTCTAATTAAATAAACATTTGCAAAATTTATCACAAGTAAAAATTTTTGAGATATTTCTCGTTAAGAGCATAGATCAGGATTGACCACTTAATAGCCAATGAAAAATTGAGGGGAGTTGATACAACTTTACAAATATAAAAAACTTATTTAACAACATAAAAAGTTTCCACATTTTTCACTCTTAAATAAGTGTAAGAACACGTTTGCTCAAAATTATGTACGAGGCGATGGCATATATACAGTACTTATATAAACTATCGAAGGGGGTCAAAGAAAAAGTTTCTCTAAAGGTGTCAATACACGAAATAGGTTGGGAGTACTTGGCGTGGATAGTGAACGAATAGTGCTTACAAACCGAAATGCTCATAACTTCTGATAAAATGCATATTTTGAAAAATATTTTATTATACTGCACTCTGAAAAAATTGTAGACCAATATATTCCTACTGTTGTCTGTCTGCTGTCTTTCGTTAATCTTGAGAATAAAGTTAGATAGATGAAATCCGAGGCAAGACACGGAAAGCTTGTGGACAGTAGGTCACGATTAATTAAATAAAATCTTAAATTAATTAAAAACCTGCTAATGTGAGGTAGGAATAAAGACTTATCACACCAGTGATAAGTCCTTATTCCAAGAGAAGAAGCCACCTTAAGGAGAAGCCACCTTAAGCCTGTCTCCTCTACACCCATTTATTGCTCAATGATCATACCTTTATAACGGTTCCTTTGTCTTGTATAATTTTAAGTATCTCACCTTTTTATATATGTATACCAACTGAAGAGGGACTATTCCGATAGTCCGAAATGCATTTTGGTTATTTTGGTTATTTCATGTCGATTGTTAATTTAATCTTTTTTAATGTACACCCCTTCTCGTTTTATTAAATGTATTCAATTGATACCTGGGTTTTTGTGCTCATTATCACTGGTGTGATAAGTCCTACCTCACATTAGTAGGTTTTTAATTAATTTAATTAAACCAAGGGCAAAAAGCAATTTCTTTATATTAAATAAAATATTTTTATGCAAAACTCAGGTCATGTTATTTTAGGGGAGATCGGGGCAAGATCGGCATGTTAAGCTTTACTTAAATTTTGTGTAATAAATACTGCTGTAAACTGAAAAAAAAGCTTTGCATATTGTCTATTGGAATGTTACCTTACTATAGAACTGGTTAAAATCAGTTTGGAAATAAAAATAATTAAAATAATTACAACTTTACAAGAAGAGAGAAATTGACGAAGTTGCCCCGGGTATAGGGGCAAGATCGGCAACTTCTCTCTTTTTGTAAAGTTGTAATTATTTTAATTATTTTTATTAAAGTTGCCCCTGGTATAGGGGCAACAGTAATGGGGCAAGATAGGCACGTATATAAAATTATGTTATTAACAATGTATAAGTTGGAATTCACTATTAAAACAAAGAAATACAAATCCAACACCCATTTAATATTATTACAACGAAATGCAAGTTCAAAGACATATATACATGAATAACAAATGCAAACATGTTTTCATTTATCATCTGTTTGATTTTTATCCTTTGCTTCTAATGTGGCTTTATGTTGCCGATCTTACCCCGCTAGTCATGATTTCGAAACATTAAGTACAACCCTGAGAACAGAATGCCAAGCCACGATCTGGCCACGTGAATAAGTTGAAGTTACATCCTTCTAACAGGAAAAGTAACTTTCGTTATCATGGAATTATAACAAAACCTGCCAATTCAATATAAATGGAAAAAAAATATTATATGGAATTGAACGAAAATGAAAATTTGCTTGATAATTCAACTACGCTTGTTGGAGAACAATAAAAACACTACACTCAACAAGCCACCAATAAAACTCAACCGCCTAACCTATAGCCAAAGTCTCCTTTTAATTTGTTTTTTAAAAAAAGCGCTTGACAAACTTGCCCCGCATGCCGAAGTTGCCCCGATCTCCCCTAATTCAAAATGTTTCCCTTAAAAGGTTAACACCTTTCAGGGGAACTTTTTGAATTTTTGAACTTTTTGAAACGATGACCAGCACGACTCTATTGTTAAAGAAAAAGTGTAACTCCATTACTAATTGGAGATGAAGAGCATATATTTTAAATCAAATAAATTAAAAATATGATTAAAAATTGCAGCCTGACATTGGAACGATATTATTAAAGCTTCGTTTATTTATAATGAGAATTTTAACGAAATAAGTGGGTCACTATTTAAAAAATTAAAATTATTGTCTGTTTCACTAATAGTGGTATTATCTACGACAAAACCGATAATGGTGTTTTATGACTTTCTTCAAGTATATCGTTCTTTTCATAGAACGCATATGTGAGATCCACGAGTTTTGGGGATTGTTTTAACCGGTTTTAGTAAAATAATTCTATGTAAACATCCGCCGATAGAAAAATTGTCGAATAGTTTCAGATCGGCTGTCATCCCGATTGTCAGCAATCAGCATTGGCGTAGCCAGAGTTTTGTTATGGGGGACCCTAGTAGAGGCCAACCTGACACAGAATTGAATTATTTCAAATTATTGTTCATTAATTTAAAATGAAATTTACATAGGAATCGACAATAACTGAACACATATGTGGAATGTGAAACGCGATCTGCTGACGAGGGACGAAGGGGCTGGGAGAGGGAGGACGACGAGAGCAGAGAGGGGACGTGACTTCAGAGGGAGAACACCGAGACGACGGTTGAAGAAGAAGACGCGGGAAAAGACGGAAGACGAGAAAGAAGTCCTACATTTGTTTTTTTAAATTAATAATCACAATACTTTCATGTAATCTGTATTCTTTAAAACGTTCCTGTTATCAAAGTCTTTCTTATCTCAATTAAAGTTTTTTAAAAGACAAAGAAAAGTCTCACATAAGTGGGGGCTCGTCCGGGATCGGAATAGGCCGGGATAGGAATAGGCCGGGATAGGAATAGGCCGGGATAGGAATAGATTTGACGAACTGTGCTTTGGTTTTGTGAGTACGCTGGACATTTACGGACATTTGTGTTTTGTGAAAATTCGACGTTGGAGAGTCCGAATACATCGGCATTCCGGAAGGACTTCGACTTACGTTTCGGCAAACCGTGAGTAGTTTTAAAATTCTACTTTTAAGATGGCGACGCTCGTAGAAATTATCGGCGAAACACTAAAGTCGGCCTCGACAAGTTCAATAAGATTGTTGCATCAACTTGTATTCGAAGAGGTTGGAGATAGGAATAACAGAAAAAGATTGAGAACCTTTGGTGGGTTCAATTTTCCATCCAAAGAGGACGAAAATCTAAAAAAGAAAGTGCAATATATTAACGAGAACTTCCGATTAAACGACTTAGTTGTTTTGTGCAACTTATTAAATGTTCAGTATGATGGTACTAAAGACGAAATCGTCGAAAGGCTTGTTCTTTCTCTTTCTGATTTAAAATCATTACAATCAAATCTGATCTTGGCAGACGTTGATACCGAAGACGAAGATGCATTAGAAGTTCAAACTGTTACCGATGATCCGCCTAGCAATAATTGTCTGCGTGTTTCGGATATGACTAAACTTTCCATTAACTTTCATGACGTGAAAAACGTAATCAAACCTTTCGATGGTAGTGAATATTGTTCTATCGATAAATGGCTGGTTGCATTCGAAGACTTTGCTAAAATGATGACTTGGTCTGATTTACATAAATTTATATTTGCAAAACAATCCTTAACAGGGTTAGCGAAATTATTTGTTGAAAGTCAAAGCGGTATTAATTCCTGGGATAAATTGAAATCGGAATTAAAAGCGGAATTTGGCAGTAAATATAACTCAGCGCGATTGCACGGTATGTTGGCTAAACGCCAAATGCTCCCCAATGAATCCGTGCAAGAATATTTCTTTAAAATGCAAGAACTCGCTAGTCATGGAAAAATTGAGCCTGACGGGTTGATCGAATATGTTA